CCGCAATCCCTTCTCCTCCATTCTCCTCTCGGGATCTTGGGCACGCACGCACACGCGCCCGGCGTGAGTTTTAAGCCACCAGGTCCGGGACATGAACCGCGGTCGACTACGTGGGAGTCCAGCGACATAGCCATTACGCTAACTGCTGGTTCCCAATCCCCCTTTTTCTTAAAGAATTATTTTATTTAACTTTATTATTATTATTATTTGTTTTAACTTGACCAGAGAAAGACAGAGAAAAGGTGAGGAAGTAAGCTGCAAGGTCCAAAAGACTCGAACTGCAGTCAGGCATGTGGGAGGCCAGTGTCTTTAACCAAGCCACCTGCCAGCCCCACCACAATCCCTTTTCTTCCATTTTCTTCTTGGGATCCTGGGCACACATGCACATACACCTGGCGTGAGTTTCAAGCCGCCAAGTCTGGAACTTGAACCACGGTCAACTACATGTGAATCTAGCAAAGTAACTATTACACCTAATCACAGCACAGTTAATTGAGTTTCTGTGATAGGCCATGTGTACTCACCAGAGAGAGAGACAGAAAGCGAGAAATGTCCTCCAGGGGTCATGGTCACACCGCAATCCCTTCTCCATTCTCCTCTCAGGACCTTGGGCATGCACACATACACGCCCGGTGTTGAGTTTTAAGTCTCTTGGTCCTGTACTCAATTACACCATCTGCTGGTCCCTCCCCCCCCCTTTTTTTTAAGAGGGATTTTTTGCTATAGAGCACATGTGCTCGCAAGAGAGACAGAGGGAGGGGAAGGACAGACAGACAGACAGAAAGTGAGAAATCACCCCCTAGGGGGATGGCACCATTATCCCCTCTTGCATTCTCTTCTGAGACTTTGGACATGCATACACACGAAACTGGCGTGTTTCAAGCTGCTGGGTCCAGGACTTCAACTGTGGTTGGTCATGTCAGAGTCCAGCAACATAACCACTATGCCATCTGCTGGTCCCAGTAGCGACCCATTCTTACTTTTTTTTTAGAGAGAGAAAGAATCGCCCCCTGGGGGGATGGCCATGCCACAATCCCTGCTCCTCCAATCTCCTCTTGGGATTGTGGGAATTCACGCATATGCGCCCGGCATGAGTTTTAAGCTGCTGGGTCCAGGACTCAAACCGCCATGACCCATTTTTACATAGAAAAAATACAATGCACTATATTTTTTAAAAAGAATTGTTTTATTTAACTTTATTTATTTATTTAATTTGACCAGAGAGGGATGGGGAGGGGGGCGGTTAGAAAGCAAGCTGCCAGGTCTGGGACTGGAACCATGGTTGGCCATGTGGGAGTACAATGCCTTTGACCACCATGCCACCTGCCAGACAACTCAATATATTTACCAACCCATTCAGTAAGGCAGCTAAAAAATATAACATTACCAGGTTTGGTAGTCAGCTTTTAGTACTGTTAGATTACCCAGAAGTTTGTGTGTCAGCTTTTAAAAGCTCAAAGATCTTGTATGTTCTTATCGCACATCCAGAGGAACCTTTGGTATTTTCTGTTAATATGAAGTCCACTTCTTGATTACATTACTTTTATGACTTAGGGTAAAGCACCTTCACCTCGCGCTGCTCATGCCTGTGCAACCGTTGGAAACAAAGGTTTTGTGTTTGGAGGCAGATACCGAGTGAGTACATAAACAGGCTCAGTAACTGGCTTCTGAATTCTTCAGAATGGTAACTACTTAATTATCCTTTTTTAGGATGCTAGAATGAATGATCTTCACTATCTTAACCTGGATACATGGGAGTGGAATGAATTGTAGGTATAACTTCAGATAATAATTCAGAAAAGTTTCTCAACCAAAATTTCAGATTTCCCCCCTTACTCCCTATTATTATATAATTACATTATATATGGATTATATATAATTCATTAATATTAAATTTTCTGTAACCAAACTTCCTGTTTAAGTAAATAGGATCACTAGGTCCATAAGGATGGAATTTTTTGTTTTCGGTTCCCCTAGCTATGTGCCTGGTACTTAGTATGTTTACTGTGTTGAAAAGTAAAGATCTAGGATTGACTATGCCTTCAAGAAAGATAGTTCAGTATATAGAGTATGTTGTTGTTAAATACCAAGAAACCTTTTTAAATTTAAAGTCAGCTTTTTATGTAAGAGGAAAATTTAAACTTTTAAGAGAAAACATCAGCATTTTTCAATATCAACTGCAGTAGCTGGTTTTAAATGCAGATATTGTAACTCAGCTATTATTTTCAGAATTCCACAAGGCCTATGTCCAGTTGGCCGATCCTGGCACTCACTAACACCGGTTTCTTTAGATCATCTTTTTCTCTTTGGAGGATTTACCACTGATAAACAGCCACTAAGTAAGTCCTTTACAAATATAATAATTAAATAGTATATAAATCATCCATATATATAATAAAGTGCTGAAAAACAGTCTTATATTACATGTTTCAGAGGGCTTCAGGGTTGCTTAGAACATTTGCTGTTTGACCCTATAACATACCCGTACTTGTAACTGTCCATAATATGGCATATAGCTGATCTGTCCAGTAAATAAATCACTTGGAGCTTAAAAGCCCTGCTAAAGGATTTTAATATGGAAGGAGCTTATTTAGTTAATTACAGAGAAAAAAAACTGCAGTACTCTTTCTGTAACTACTCATCTTGGTTTACCGCCTTTCTTACTTACTTCCTAAAGTAAAGAAAGGGCTTTCTGACTAAAGCCCTCCCTCCCCTACTTTCCTTTCTTCCTTCTTCCTTTCCTCCCCTCTCCTCCCCTCCCCTCTTCCTTCCTTCCTTTTTAGAGAGAGATTTTTGGTATAGGGTGCAGGTGCACATCAGAGAAACAGAGAAAGAAATCAGGGGTGATGGCAATGCTGTAGTCCCTTCTTCATTCTCCTCTTGGGCACGCATGCATGCACACACACATACACATACACACTCCCAGCATGAGTTTTAAGCCACCGGGTCGAGGACTCGAACTGCAGTCAACTATGTGGGAGTCCAGTGATGAAACCATCCTGCCATCTGCTGGTCCCAAGGAATGCCTTTAAATGTTAATGTCATGTAGACAGAATAACATATGTCATAGCTCTTGTTTCTTTGCTTCTATCAGGTGATGCTTGGACATACTGTATCAGTAAAAATGAATGGATACAGTTTAATCATCCCTACACTGAAAAACCAAGGTATGAACGAACTATTTAAAGGTCATTTTTATACTGAATTAATGGAGTCCATATGATATAAGACTACTAAGAATTCATTAAGGTTTGTCATTACACTTCTCTAAGAGAAAGTCAGTGGTATCCTGGTATCAGATACTCACTTTCCCATCATTCTGTATATGAACAAGGCTACATTATTTATTTATTTATTTATTTATTTATTTTCTTGTATTATCATAAAAATTAGAAGTAGTTAAAAATCAAGCTCTTTACCTCAGTTGAACTGCATCTAAGTTCATATTGGAAGAAAAAACAAAAAGGTGGGGGACCAACAACAGGTGGCATAATGGTTATGTCACTGGAATTCCAGGTAGTGGACCGCGGTTTGAGTCCTGGACCCGGTTGCTTAAACCTTATGCCAGGAATGTGTGTGTGTGTGTGTGTGTGTGTGTGTGTGTGTGTGTGCATGCCCAAAATCCTAAGAAAAGAATGGAGAAGGGATTATGGCATGGCTATCCCCCCTCAGGGGGGATTTCTGGCTTTCTGTCTCCCTATCTCTGTGGCAATTGCACGTGCCCTATAGCAAAAATCTCTCTCTAAAAAAAAAAGGGGGGGGTGACTAGCAGGTGGTTGGTGGTTAAGGCGCTGGACACTCCCACATGGCTGACCACAGTTCGAGTCCCGGACCTGGTGGCTTGCTTTCTCATTCCCCTCTCCCCCACTGTCTCTCTGTCTTTCTCTGGTCAAATTAAAATAAATAAATAAAAAATTAAAAACTAAAAATGTGGTGTGGGATGAAAAAGGGAATTTTAAAACCTTAAGCAATGTACCCAGGAAAAAATGAACCAACCAGATCTGCCACAACACTGTATAACATGATTAATAAGTCAAATCACCCAAAAAGAGCCTACTGAACACTGATAGTTATTTCTATTAACCTCAAGAACTGCCAAAAGAAATGGTAGTCAAAATTGGTGGTCAAAGTACATTTAGATCTGTCAGCTTTCAGTTTTTATTCCACTCCTCTAACCTAGTCAAGACTTCACCTGGTCCAAATGTTAGCCAATTTTGAGAGACTTCCACAGTTTACCCAGATGGGGCCTTTAGGATCCCTGATGTTCTGTGTAAGGCCAATTGGCTTTGCCTATAAAGAGGAAGTAAAAGAGGGTATACACCACTTAGCTCCCATAGATTTTTTTAAAAATTAAGGTTCTTATTTTTAAATTTGCTACAGGGCATGTGCACTCACCAGAGAGAGAGAGAGAGAGAGAAAGAGAGAGAGAGAGAGAAGGCAAGCTGCCAGATCTGGACTTGAACCACAGCCAGCCACGTAGGAGTCCAGCACCTTAACCATGGTGATGCCACCTACCGGCCCCCCCCATAAGATTTTTGTTGCTAAAAAATCCAGATAAAATAGACTTTTCTAGCTTTTGCTACTTTTCCTAAAGAGTTTATATCTAACATATGGTGGTCTGAACTACCTTAAGATCTTGTCTTTTTCTTTTTCCTTTTTTTGCCTTAGGGTGCGTGTGCTCACGAGAGAGACAGGGACATACAGCAAGAAGTCACGCCCAGGGGGGATGGCCATGCTGCAATCCCCTCTCCTCCAAACTCCTCTCAGGATTTTGGGCACACACGCACACCCGCTAGTTTTAAGTCACCAGGTCCAGACTTGAACCACACTGACTACATGGGAGTTTAGTGACATAACCATTACCCCATCTGCTGGTCCCAAGACCTCTAGTCTTTATTTCCATCAGCTCTGTTCTATAGTGTAATTGACCAATTTGGTGTTTTGAGTAACTTCAAACTCAAGGTTTTGTTTTAAATGCAGATTATGGCATACAGCATGTGCCAGTGATGAAGGAGAAGTCATTGTTTTTGGTGGGTGTGCCAATAACCTGCTTGTCCACCACAGAGCTGTAAGTATACCACTTCATAATAATACAAAACGTATCTGTGAAGCGCTTGCTTTTTAATGTGCTCTTCATATCTAATCTACTTTTTAGGCACACAGTAATGAAATACTTATATTTTCAGTTCAACCAAAATCTCTTGTACGGTAAGTAACTTTATACTTGACACTTAGATTATTATATTTTTTTTTTAAAAAAAGAATTATTTTATTTAACTTGATTTATTTGATCAGAGAGTGACAGAGTTGGGGTGTGGGGGGAGTGAGAAAGCAAGCCACCAGGTCTGGGACTTGAACCAAGGTTGGCCATGTGGGAGTCCAGTGCCCTTAACCACCATGCCACCTGCTGGCCCCACACTTAGATTATTTTAAATTGTTTCTTAAATTAGGGGCTCTTGTAAAATCAGGTTTATGGATTGAGGGCAATAGTGAGTTTTTGTTAATATAACCAGTTTCTTGAAAATTTCTAAATTTTGTATTCTTTAAGTGAATGTACTTCTAAACAGTAAAGTGAAATTCTATTTCTCTCTTCCTTGTCCACTTTTAGGTTAAGCTTAGAAGCAGTCATTTGCTTTAAAGAAATGTTAGCCAACTCGTGGAACTGCCTTCCCAAACACTTACTGCACAGTGTTAATCAGAGGTTTGGTAGTAACAACACTTCCGGATCTTAAGGCTTCATACATAATGCCTCTGATTGCCTTGCATGGACAGCAACCAGGACATGTCACAGAGTGGCATCACTTGTACAATTATATGAGTTGTTGTAGTTTGCAGCTTTTGGGTTTAAATATGCATGTGAATGGCCTAGAGAACCTATTTTTGTGTCTAAAGTTTACAATAAATGTATTTAACATCACTAACTGTCTTTTATTAAAGAAGAAAACGAATGTTGGGGTTTTTACCCCACAGCACAGACATCACATTTCCTTCTTGGGAACCTCAGGATGTATTATCAGCAGAAATTAATCTTACCATTATAAAAACAGTGAAGTAATTTTTTTCAAAAACATCAAAATTTTAGGTTATTTTAAAAATGACAAGCACAGTGTGTAATTACATAGCCTACCATCATAAATACAACATAATAAAGGGTTTTTAAAAATTAATCTTGAATGGAAACACATCCTCAATAGGATTAACAATTAACCTATTGGGTCATCAGAAAAGTCATGACGCATTTTTGCATAGAAAAACACATGATGACTTTTCTAACAACCCAATGCTAAAACAAATGTGGAGGAACCAACAGCCATTTAGTATTTTTCAAGAGAGATTTTTGTCATAGGGCATGTGAGAGACAGAGAGAAATTTAAAGCGAGAAATCACCCTCTGGGGTCCGGCGGGGGGCGGGGGGGGAATGGCCACACCACAATCCCTTCTCCTCCATTCTTCTCTCAGGATTTTGGGCATGCACACACACGTGCCCAGCATGATCTTTTTTTTTTTTTTTTATTCATTTATTTTAATTTGACTAGTGAGAGACACACAGAGAGGGAAAATGAGAAAACAAGCCACCAGGACTTGAACTATGGTCAGCCAAGTGGGAATGTCCAGTGCCTTAACCATTACACCACCTGCTGGCCCCCCAGTGTGAGTGTATGTGAGTTTTAAGCTGCTGGGTCCAGGACTCGAACCATAGTCAACCACATGCGAGTCCAATGACAACGCTTTGACAATAATGCTTTGGTGTAGGGACTTAAGCAAAGTGGTCATGGTGACTAGAGACACATGTCCAATCAGTTAAAAAGGAACAGTCCTGTAGCTCATAAATGTATCAAAATAATGTGTGATTTTATTCTCCATTCTGTTAGGAGACAGAAGAAAAAAGCTGAGTCAGGAGTGGTAAGCCCAAAGTGCACTTCTGATGTTCTAGATTAGAATACTCGTAACATGCTATTGATAATGATACGAGGTAGAAATTAAAATGGTACAGAACTGAATGATATTACAAGGAAGAAATGAAGACTTTTGCATAAATGCATGGAAATGATCAACACCTTCTAGGTGTTATTTTTTAAGCTGAGTCATGGAAATTATCTGTATTTTACATCTGGTCTAATGTATTTTTTATAAGTATATGTGAAGGCAGAAGAAAACTCACTTCAATTAGGTCTTTCAAGACAAGTAATATTTAACTGCCCCCTACTCTTGCCACAAAAAAGAAAACAACCCCTGTGATTGGCCTCTAAATGTATGTAAGTTATCTACAGTAGACTAACAAGTCAGTAGTTTAAGCAATCAAGCCACTTCACTGTTGATTTTCTTTACATTGTGAAATGAATTATTAGCTTTAATCTCCCAAGCTTCAAGATAATTTAGGAGAATAACTACAGATGTGTATACTTAATAATAGCATTAATATTTTAGAGCATCCTAATATAGACAGTGTGTCCTCTATATAAAACTGGAAAAAACAATTAAGTCCTTTTGGCGAATATAGCAAGGCAATGTTTAGTTCATTTTTAAATGAAGTCCTGTTACCTGGTGGCCTCATCTTTGAAATTCTGAAAGGCTATAAAATGAGTTCTTGTCAAATATTTTAGGATTTCATTTCGGCTATTTCCTTTTTACATTCAGAAGATTGGGTGCAGACACTTTCACTTTGCCAGGAATGTTTCTTGATAAATCTGTGTCCTAAAAAAAAGAAAATGGCTTAATATTTTTACATCCCATATGATCAGTCATGTTGCTTTTATTACAATGATGTATCCTTTGCTATCAAAAGATTGGGATTTCCACGATATTTAGCTGAAATTATTTTACTTATTTTGTTACTTCTAGGAAAACAGCATTTTCTACCAAAACAACAGAAAATAATTACTAACATTTAAAATTTTACCACCAATCCTCCACAAAGTTCTGATTAAAATTTTACCTTTACGCTGCGGAATAAATCTTTTTCTCTTGCTGTTGCTTCTTTGTAATGCATGAAGCTATTCAAGGCTGTTTTTGCAGCTGAAAATAGCAAAGAGAAGAATCTACTTCTGTTCAGTCACTAAACTGTTCAAAATCATAACTAAAAAAAATGTTAAATACCTTTTCCCTTTTTCTGAACTCCAGGAGTAAGCTTCACTTTATATCTTTAAAAGAAATAGCAAGTGTTACTAAATAGAGACTATAAAACACTTAAATCCACTGTGTCAGCTGTTTTGTGAACCAGTGGCGACTTACTTATAGTTTGTCATGGTTGTATAAGGGGCACATATTGGAATGGCAAACAGTAGTACATCTTCAGGATGTGGCTGGCCTGTCAAAGAATCAAACAGATTTTCCTAAAAAAGGGAATATAAAAAAATTATTAATTTATACCAGCAATAAAAAAGAATGCTAAATTAGTCAAATTAGTATCTCAACATATTTTTACCTTTTTCTAATGGACACAATATTATAGTCTAAATAAGAACAGCAGTGCTTAAACTCTGCATTATAGTTCCAAAGAGTTGAAGACCAATGTCTGTTCTATAATACTTAAAATTTCTGCCTAACATAATGAGCAGTGAGAAAAATGATTTTCAGAATACTACCTCTAGGGACCAGCAGTTAGCCTAATGGCTATGTCGTTGGACTCCCACGTAGTTGACCGTGGTTCATGTCCTGGACCCAGTGGCTTAAAAAACTCATGCCAGGCGCATGTGCGTGTGTGCCCAAGATCCCGAGAGGAGAATGGAGGAGAAGGGATTGCAGCGTGGCCATCCCCCCTGGGGGGTGATTTCTCGCTTTCTGTCTCTCTGTCTCTCTCTAGCGAGCGCACACGCCCTATAGCAAAAAACCTCTCCAAAAAAAAAAAAAAATACTACCTCTAGACATATTTAAGTAAAAGGGAGAAAAAACTTGTTGCACATTATCAGAGTTGCAGAAAACTGGATTAAAATGATGTGTAGTGGGGCTGGCAGGTGGCTTGGTAGTTAAGAGGGCTGGACTCGCACATGGTCAAGCATGGCTCAAGTCCTGGACCTGGTTGCTTCCTTTCTCACTTTCCCTCTTTCTCTCTAGTCAAACTGGAAAATAATAATAATAAATAAAGTTTAAAAAAAATGATGTGTAGTAATGACAAGTAGATTTTAAGAAAACCATTACATGGAAATGGGACTAATATTTTGGTTAGACTAGTAGTTCTTTCCAGGGGGAATTCTGTCCCTTAGAAGATAAGAGGCAATATATCTGGGGGGCTGGGAAGGAATGGTTAGGGGTTTACTGGCACCTAGTGGTTGGGCCATGGATGCTGCTAACCATTTTGTGATGCATGAAATAGTCCCACCACAACAAAGAATTAACCATCCCAAAATATTAATGGTGTCAAAGTCAAGAATCCTAGTGTTAGAATAGCCTTCTCTGTTCTAACAGTTTTTTTTTTTAAAGAGGTTTTTGCCTTAAGGGTGTGTACACTCACTCGAGAGACAGACAGAGGGAAAGTGAGAAATCACCCCCTAGGGGTATGTCCACGTGCAATCCCTTCTCCTCTGTTCTCCTCCTGGGACCTTGGGCATACATGCACATGCGCCTGGCATGATTTTCCAGCCACTAGGTCCGGGACTTGAACTGTGATCAGCCATGTGGGAATCCAATATAACCACTGCACCATTTACTGGCCTCCTCGTAGCTGTTCTTCAAAAGAGATCTTAGGGTGGACCAGCAGATGGTGTCATGGTTACACTGCTGGACTCCCACACAGTAGACTGTGGTGTGAGTCCTGGACCCAGTGGTTTAAAATACACTGGGCATGTGTGTGTGCATACCCACAATCCCAAGAGGAGAACGGAGAAGGGATTGCAGCATGGCCATTCACCCTGGGGTGGTGAGTTCTCACTTTCTGTCTCTCTGGTAAGTCTATGCACCAGTAACAAAAATTTCTTCCTAAAAAAAAAATAGATTCCAGGGCTTCTTACAGAGTTTCCATTTCATGGGCTGTCTTAAAGACTGTCCGTATTTATTTGACAACATAAACTTAGATTTAGGACAAAATGCTTGGCGTTAAACAATTATTTCCATATAGGGACAATCATTTCCCCCATTCCTGAGATGAGGAAACTGAGACACAAAGAATAATGCTTCCAAGTTTACACAGCTCTAAGTGTAAGTTACGGATCAAACACAGTGGAAGTGGGTTGCAGTGAGAGCAGTAGGAACCCCAACACATAATCATACCTCGTTTCCCTGCTGATCCAGATCTTGCTCTTCCTGTTCCAAAAAAACGTAAAAATAAGAGTCACCTATAACATTAAATAAAATTCTACACCATTAAACCATGAGAAGAAATAAACAGTGATACAACAGAACTGTCATGACTAACCCACAGTGCCCCAACGTTGTATTGTTCGGGCCCAAGACTCTGAAGTCGGTGTGCATTTGTGTGTAGTTCAGGGAACAAAACCATTCAAAAAACGATAGCTCTCTGAAGTGTGTGTGTTGGGGGGAGAGAGGGAGGGGAAATAATTTCACATAAAATACATGCTAATGCACCAAAAGTCATCTCTCCAGCGAGCACACACTCTATAGCAAAGAATCTCTGGGAAAAAAAAAATTTGGTTGCATTTTAAACAAATTTATATATAAAAAAAAAGTCTCATGGACTAGCTAGGTGGTATGGTGGTTGAGGCTGCTAGATCCCACATGGCTGACTGAACAGTTCAAGTCCTGGGTTCGGGGCTTCAAAAACATGCCAGGCACATATGCATATGTGCCCCAAAATCCCCAGGGAAGACAGGAGAAGAGACTATGCTGTGGCCATACACTTTCCCTCTCTCCTTTTCTGTCTCTCTCCTGTGAGCCCACATGTCCTATAGCAAAAATTAAAAAAAAAATTAAAAAGGCAGGGGGGAGGTGTTACCAGACTACTCCTGTCCTAAGAACCTTGAG